CCATTTAACTTTTCTTCCGCATATCAAATCTCTCAAAACTAAATGCCTGAAGGCACTTGATTTATTGAAAGTCGTGTCTAATTCAAGGTGGGGAGGGGATCAAGCTACGCTCCTACACCTTTACAGATCACTTGTCCGCTCGAAGCTTGATTATGGCTCCATCGTTTATGGTGGAGCCTGCAAAAGCAACCTAAAACTCTTAGATTCAGTCCACCATCAAGGTCTGAGACTTTGTCTTGGGTCCTTCAGAACATCTCCTGTTGACAGTCTCTACGTCGAGGCAGATGAGCCTTCTCTTACCCAACGCCGTATAAAATTATCATTACAGTATATTACCAAGCTATATTCTAACGAGTCTAATCCTGCGTTTCACTGCATCTTCACTCCTCTTTATGAGGATTTGTATAACAAAAAGCCTTCTCTTGTTCCGCCTCTTGGGCACAGAATTAAACCATTCCTTTCTGCTGCCGGCATTGAGCTGGAGAATATATCTCCTTCCCGTCTTCTTTCTTCTCCTCCTTGGCAATTGGTTAGGCCACAGGTCGACCTGACACTGACTAAGTTTAAGAAAGCAGAAACTAATGAATTGCAATATAAACAAGAATATAATCAATTAAAAAGTAAATATAATACATATAAATCCTTATTTACAGATGGGTCCAAGGATGGTGGCGCGGTTGCTTGTGCCACTGTCATTGGGTCCAAAACAATATCTTCCAGATTACCCAATGACAGTTCAATTTTCACAGCAGAAGCAAACGCAATACTAACAGCTCTTAAATATATAAATAGACACCCTAAATATAAACAATATATAATATTTTCTGACTCTTTCTTGCCTTCAGGCGATTAAAAATATTTCTTGTAAACATCCGCTTTTAATAGAAATTATAGAATTATATAATGATCTTGCAACTGGCCAATACGACATCGTCCTCTGTTGGTTACCCAGCCACGTTGGCATTTCTGGTAATACAATGGCCGATTTTGTTGCCAAGGCAGCACTCAACAAATCTGTGACACCACTTCTTCTCCCATACTCTGATTACAAAGCTTGCATTAGATCTTACATCCGTGATCTGATGCAGAAGAAGTGGGACACTCAAGTAGGTATTAATAAACTACATGAAATAAAACCTTATATTGGTTACACTCACTTGGGTTGTCAGTCCAGATTTGAAGAGGTCATTATGCGACGATGTCGCATTGGCCATACAAGGTATACTCACAACTACTTGTTGAAAGGTGAAGATCCTCCGTTTTGTATCCCTTGTGATGAGAAAGTCACAGTCAAGCATCTCCTGCTTGACTGTGTCGAATTCTCCATCATAAGGGATAAATATTTTAATGTTAAAACTGTTAAGGATCTTTTTAACACTGTTCATGTTCATTTAATTCTTGGTTTTTTAAAAGAAATTGATTTGATCACTGATTTTTGATTAATATGCTCTGTAAGTAGATGTATTTTAATGATTGGTAGTTTAGATTGTTAACTTAGATTGTTAGTGGCTGTGCCCTCAAAGGGGGGTTGACGTAGCGTAAAATTATTGTCCTCCTGAGAGGGTACGTAAGTCCCAAAACATCTCAAGTAAATTTCAGCCTACCAGGTTTTTAATCGTAGTATTTTTGTCATTTTTATGTATGGCTAAATCTCAGTATAAACGCCAATGGCTGAAGGGATGGTGTAAATCCAGCTAGGGTCCATGCAGGTAGCAAAGTAATGTAAGCCCCCATGGGCCTTAGTATGGTGATCTACCTTCAGTTGTTGGCGATCTATAGCCCATTTTTACATTGTATTGTCTTCTTTAATTGGAATATTTTAGCTTTGTTCGCTAGTTTTATATCTTTATCTGTGATAATCTAGTTATTTTACTGTCCTTCGTCGGCAGAATTTTATAATTTCACTTAAATTGTTGATATATTTATAACTTGCTTTAGTCACGATATGGCTGAAATATTGCCGATGTGACTTAAAATCTTAACTCACTCACTCACTAATACACTGTCCTTCACAATAATAGACCGTCAAGGACGGTGGGACGGGCTATGTTTTATACACTGCAGTGGGGTAGCCTAGTGGTTAAAGTGTTCACTAATCACGCCAAAGACCCAGGTTCGATTCCTCACATAGGTGAGGTGGAATTGGGTTTAACGTTGTGCTTGAGAATATTTCGCTCATATGCATGCGTGTGTATGTGTATGTGCCGCTGCTTGTACTAGCCCAGACTGAAGCTGGTTTTATAGTGCTAGCCCACTGAGATACCATGCCACAGTGAAGCATGAATACCCCACTCAGACACAGTATACTGACTCCGAGCCGACCAGTCCTTGTTGTACCCATTAATGCCGAGCGCCAGGCAGGAACGTACAAGTACCATATTTTAACGTCTTTTGGTATGACGCTGTCGGGGATCGAACCCGCGACCTTCCGCTCTCCGGGCGGACGCTCTAACCACTACACCACGGAGGCGGTCCGTAGTAGTAGTAGTAGTAGTAGTAATAGAAATAGTAGTAGTAGTAGTAGTAGAAGTAGTGGTAGTAGTAGTAGTAGTAGTAGTAGTAGTAGTAGTAGTAGTAGTAGTAGTAGTAGCAATAATAGTAATAGTAATACTAGTAGTAGTAGTAGTAGTAGTAGTAGTAGTAGTAGTAGTAGTAGTAGTAAAATAATCCGCAAAATAATCACACAATAGCAATTTCCATCCTACTTGTTGCAACTTTATCTTCAGGGGGAGGTTGTAGTTACAGATTATAATGTGTGACTATATATGCATAGCTAGTATAACGTATAGTATATAACATTTGAACCTGATATGAAGTACAATATGTAATCCCGTCAACTACACCTTTCGCTGGTCTTGGTCAATCACCCGCGAATATCCGGGTTGGAATTCATCTTCAGTAACCCTAGCCTGTCGTAAGAGGCGACTATGGGCGCACCCCTGCATGCATGCATGCACACACACACGCACACACACACGCACGCACGCACACGCGCGCGCGCACGCACGCACGCACACGCACACACACACACGCGGCGCGCGCGCGCGCACACACACACACACACACACACCACCACCCTCTGGATCCGCCTATGGACTGTCTGGTCCAGGCTCGATCATTTACAGACCATGTAGCTGGAATATTGCTGTGTGCTGCGTAAAACTAAACTCACTCACTCACTCACTCACCTTTCAGTGATACGTAATAAGCCATTTGCATGGTGTTAGATAAAGTGGAGACTTTTGAAACGGAAAAATAATTTCAATATATGTACCTTGACTTTATATCCCACCAGGGACACGGGTGAATGAACCAGTAGTCTGTGCTGAGTTGCGCCCCTTATGCGCGCCAGGAGCCTATGAGTATGTGGTCAAATCCCGTTTCGCTACGATTAAACTTCCAGTTTTGTCAGCACCATATTCCATAGTATACTATTGTCATTCTTTAGATATTTCCAAAATACTTTCATGGTTTCATTTCAATTCAATGCGTTAAATAGATTGTGTATGCATGTGGTTGTGCTATTGTGAGCTATTATGTTCTTCAATGCATATTAATATTTAATTTCAAATATTGTTAAATATGGAGCGAGGTAAGGAGAGAACTCATTGCCTAGCACAAGTGACGAAAGTATGGAATCCTGGAAGGGACATTGTCGCGTTGTCGCATTGTCGCGCTGTCGCCCTCTCAAATACAAGCAAAATGAGGCAAAATTAACCAAAACGCGACACGCGTCATTTCGCCCATTTGTCGCATTGTCGCGATGTCGCGTGTCGCGTTTTGGTTTATTTTGCCTCACTTTACTTGTTTTTGAGAGGGCGACAATGCGACATAGCGACAATGTCCCTTCTCGGATTCCATACGAAAGTGACTGATTATAATCGTATCTCGATGAAATGGAACACTGTTCATAATATCAATCACTAGATTGCTGGCCCAGTATGCCCGTTTCGAAATACAGCTGTACGATGTTTTTACTCTAAAACTCACAATGTTCACAATAAACAAACAAAACAACAAAAAAACAATCATTTTATTCTTGTAACTCACTCACTCACTTTGATCTTTTATAAGACAATTTACGAGACATGGAGGAGGTTAAGTTTGGCAGAGGGATGGGAAGGGGGAAGACATAGAGGACATACTAAACAGCCATAAACGTGTGTAAACATAGGTCAAGTGTTCTCACGGACAACACATCACTCTTGAATATTGTATTCAAATGGTGGACGAAAGGATTGTCCACACAAATGTATTGTTCATTCATTGTACTGATTTATTCACTACTGTTAACCAGACAGGTTATTAGGTCTCAGTTTGTGTACATACGAACAGTTCGCGAAAACACACCAGACAACAACTTACTTCGCAGAAAGCTTGAGCATGCGAAAAGCATGCGTTTTCGCCACGTGTGAAGTTCGAAGTGAAAATGTAGTTAGTTCGTTTCGATATGTTGATAAGGCAGCACGCCTTGAGATAGTTCGTTAGTGGTAACCATTTGGGTGTTAGATTGTTTGACAGAGGTTTAGTGTAATAGAAAGTTAGGAATGTAAGATATTGTAAAGGTAAATTAAAACAAATATTAGATTCTGATTTAGTGGTTTTGTGTTGATATCACAACCAGTACAGTTCCTGCTGACCAAATGGTGTCATCAGTTTGGCATCAAACGACGAGTATTTGAAATATTTCAGGCTCAAATATTTAAAACATGTAGGTGGAAACTTCAAGTTCTAAATCGTCTTTTAAAAAAGAAAACATTGCCAAAATGAGAGTGTCCCCTACACGCTGAACGAACATAGGAAACCACCCTGATTCGCATCAGTCGCGTGTCGAACTTTTAACTAAACAATATGATAAATCCATATTCTTGTTAAGAGAGCATTTAAATAACTGTCTCTCGATTACTTTCCGGAAAGATAGGTCGTCATGTCGTGCGTATTGCAACGTTCTCCTTGACAGAAACACAGGAAGTGTCGACCAATTTTTTGACATGTACTTAAACGTATTCCATCAATGATAGTAGGGTTAAGAGAAGTTTCTTTGTTCAGTACTTACAGCAAACATTTTATCTCAGAACAGGCCTTCACAATTATGTTCCCCCTGTCAGTTTGTTAGAAAACATTATAATTGTTAAATTGAGCGTTTAAATAACTGTCTCTCGATCACTTTCCGGAAAGGTAGGTCGTCATGTCGTGCGTATTGCAGCGATCTCCTTGACAGAAACACAGGAAGTGTCGACCGATTTCTTGACATGTTGGGTCTTTGGAGGACGTTTCTTCCCACTGGGGAAAATCTCTGGTGCATCCTCGATGCACTATGTTTTCTGAAAGAATCAAATTATACTGTGTCACGGCTCATATTTCAGAATATTTGTATGTGATAACAAATGAAGATCTTTTCCCAAAGCAAGTTAATTGATAAATTATCATATTGTTTTTGTGTTTAAGACGCATATCAGATTCTGCCTTCTATTTTAGCAATATTCCAGGAATCACTAGGCGCGGGACATCGGAAATGGGCTTCACACATTGTACACACGAGGAAGATCGAACTTGGGCCTTCGGCGTGACGAGCGATGGCTTTAACCGTTAGGCTACCTCCTTGATCACCCTTCTAGCTACAGGAGTAGGTTGAGGTTCTTCTCTAACTTAATAGCTAGACTTTAGGAAGATGTAGCCCCTCGTACATGGGGATAATTAGTATAATGCTGCCATTCTGACAGTGTGTATGTTTGGGAACAGTTACCATCGTCGTATCTGACATCGGAGTAGCAGGCGGTGCCACATGGACAGGTTATGACTTCACCGGGGTCAGTTCCAGCAAAGTTGCCGTTCGCTGGACATCGGGCGTTTCTGGACGTACACACATGACACTTCCTGGATACAGTGCAACCTTCAACATACATAAAACTATATAGGGAATAACTGAATGAGTTTAGTTTTACGCCACACTCAGCATTATTCCAGCTATCCATTCTGTAAATAATCGAGTCTCGGACCAGACAATCCAGTGATCAACAGCATGGGCAATGATCTAAGCAATTGGGAACCGATGACATCTGTCAACCAAGCCAGCGAGCCTGACCACCCGTTAGTCGCCTCTTAGGACAAGCATGGGTTACTGAAGGCCAATTCGAATCCGGAACTTCACGGGTCAGTAACTGAAGGATGATCGTTATGAAATGAAAAGATCTAAAACGTTTGTTGCATGCCAACACCGACCATCGACCAGTCAGGCCCGACTGCGGGTCTTACGAATACCAATGAGGCCATAGTCAGTTACGTGTACTTTCCAGTCCAGTGACCTTGAACCTGTTTGGCATGGTTCAAACATTACACACTATAGCCATGATACAAATTACTGGGTTATATATAATTTTCATAATGACATATACCACGAGCACACTTCATTTACCTTTGTCTGTGTCTGTTGTTGTCGATGTAGTAGAAGTCGTAGCAGTAGTAGTTGTAGTCGCCGGCGCAGCGGTAGATGTAGTGGTCGGTGCAGCGGTAGATGTAGTGGTCGGCGAAGCGGTTGAGGTGGTGGTGGGCGAAACGGTAGTTGTGGTGGTCGTCGCAGCGGTAGATGTAGTGGTCGGCGAAGCGTTAGATGTAGTGGTCGGCGACGAGGTAGTTGTAGTCGTCGGTGCAGCGGTAGATGTAGTTGTCGGTGCAACGGTAGATGTAGTTGTCGGTGCAGCGGTAGATATAGTGGTCGTCGCAGCGGTTGAGGTAGTGTTGGGCGAAGCGGTAGATGTAGTGGTCGGCGAAGAAGTAGATGTAGTGGTCGGCGAAGCGGTAGATGTAGTGGTCGGCGAAGCGGTAGTTGTAGTGGTCGTCGCAGCGGTAGATGTAGTGGTCGTCGCAGCTGTAAATGTAGTAGTCGGCGAAGCGGTAGATGTAGTGGTCGTCGCAGCGGTAGGTGTAGTGGTCGGCGAGGATCGAGTGAAGACAAGGTTAGAAATAATCCCATCATGTGGTGGTGTGCTTGTAGGTTTCGTCGGTGATGACGCCATTGTTGCTGATGGTGTTTCAGTTGTATTTAGATTTGGCAATGATATATTTCCTGCTCACATTTTATCATATGACTGTGTTGGCGCCGATGACGCCACTTCTCAAACACATAAACAAGCAAGAACATCCCTACCATATGAAACATCTCTACTACATAAAACATCTCAGTGTACGTGTACTTTTATGAAAGCACATTATTTTTAAAGTGTCACATTTTGAATTTCAAACCTTAACGTCAGAGAATAATCAGTCTAACATCCACTCCACAGAATAAACTGTCTAACCTCAACTCCAATGAATAATTAGTCTAACCTCCACTACAGAACAATTAGTCTAGCCTGAACTCTACAGAATAATCTGTCTAACCTCAACCCCAAAGAACAATCAGTCTAACCTCAACTACACAGAATAATCAGTCTAACCTCAACTGCACAGAACAATCAGTCTCACCTCAACCCCAAAGAACAATCAGTCTCACCTCAACCCCAAAGAACAATCAGTCTAACCTCAACTACACAGAATAATCAGTCTAACCTCAACTGCACAGAATAATCAGTCTAAATTCAGCTACAGTGAAATAATCAGTTTAACCTCAAAACCACAGAATAATCAGTCTAATCTCGACTCCACAGAAAAATCTGTCTAGCCTCAACTGTACAGAATAATCAGTCTAAATTCAGCTACAGTGAAATAATCAGTCTAACCTCAAAACCACAGAATAATCAGTCTAATCTCGACTCCACAGAATAATCTGTCTAGCCACATCTCCGCAGAATAATCAGTCTAATCTCAACTCCGCAGAATAATCAGTCTAATCTCAACTCCGCAGAATAATCAGTCTAACCTCATCTCAACAGAATAACCAGTATTACATCAACACCACAGAATAATGACTCAAACCCCAACCCAACAGAATAATCAGTCAAACCTCAACTCCACAGAATAATCTGTCTAACCTCAACTCCACAGAACAATCAATCTAACGTCAACTCCACAGAATAATCAGTCTATCCTCAACTCCACAGAATAATCTGTCTAACTTCAACTGCACAGAATAATCAGTCCAACGTCAACTCCACAGAATAATCAGTCTAACCTCAACTGCACAGAATAATCAGTCTAACCTCAACTTCACAGAACAATAGGTCTAACCTCAACAGCACAGAATAATCAGTCTAACGTCAACTCCACAGAATAATCAGTCTAACCTCAACTCCACAGAATAATCTGTCTAACCTCAACTGCACAGAACAATCAGTCTAACGTCTACTCCACAGAATAATCAGTCTAACGTCAACTCCACAGAACAATCAGTCTAACCTCAACTCCACAGAATAATCAGTCTAACCTCAACTCCACAGAATAAGAATAATCACAGAATAATCTAAACCTCAACTGCACAGAACAATCAGTCTAACTCAGTCAACTGCACAGAATAATCAGTCTAACGTCAACTCCACAGAATAATCAGTCTAACCTCAACTCCACAGAATAATCAGTCTAACCTCAACTGCACAGAACAATCAGTCTAACGTCAACTCCACAGAATAATCAGTCTAACCTCAACTCCACAGAACAATCAGTCTAACCTCAACTGCACAGAATAATCAGTCTAACGTCAACTCCACAGAATAATCAGTCTAACCTCAACTCCACAGAATAATCTGTCTAACCTCAACTGCACAGAACAATCAGTCTAACCTCAACTCCACAGAATAATCAGTCTAACCTAACCTCCGCAAAATAATCAGTCTAGCTTCAAGAACAGAATAATCAGTCTAACCTCAACTGCACAGAACAATCAGTCTAACCTCAACCCCACAGAACAATCAGTCTAACGTCAACTCCACAGACTAATCAGTCTAATCTGAACTCCACAGAATAATCAGTCTTATCCCGACTCCACAAAATAATCAGTCTAACCTCAACTCCACAGAATAATCAGTCTAACCTAACATCCGCAAAATAATCAGTCTAGCTTCAAGAACAGAATAATCAGTCTAGCTTCAACTGCACAGAACAATCAGTCTAACCTCAACTGCACAGAACAATCGATTTAACCTCAACTCCACTAAACAATCGGTCTAATCTCAACTCCGCAGAATAATCAGTCTAGCTTCAACTCCACAGAACCATCAGTCCAGCCTCACGTCAACAGAATAGTCAGTCTAACCTCACGTCAACAGAATAATCAATCTAAACTCAACTGCACAGAATAACCAGCCTAACCTCAACTCCACAGAATATTCAGTGTAGCTCCACTTCACAGAACAATCAGTCTAACCTCAACTCCACAGAATAATTAGTGTAACCTCAACCCCACAGAACAATCGGCCTAACCTCATCCCCGCAAAATAATCAGTCTAACCTCAACCCCACATAATAATCAGTCTCGCATCAACTCTACAGAACAATCAGTCTTACTCAACTGACAGATCAACCAGTCTTACCTCAACTGCACAGTACAATCGGTCTAACCTTAACTCAACAGAACAATCAGTGTAACCTGAGATCCACAGAATAATGAATATAAACCTCAACCCCACAGAATAATCAATCAAATCTCAACCCAACAGAATAATCAGTCTAACATCTACTCCACTGAATAATCTGTCTAACCTCAACTCAACAGAACAATCAGTGTAACCTGAGATCCACAGAATAATGAATATAAACCTCAACCCCACAGAATAATCAATCAAATCTCAACCCAACAGAATAATCAGTCTAACATCTACTCCACTGAATAATCTGTCTAACCTTAACTCAACAGAACAATCAGTGTAACCTGAGATCCACAGAATAATGAATATAAACCTCAACCCCACAGAATAATCAATCAAATCTCAACCGAACAGAATAATCAGTCTAACCTCAACTCCACAGAATAATCTGTCTAACCTTAACTCCACAAAATAATCGGTCTAACCTCAACTCCACAGAATATGTCTAACCTCAACTCCACAGAATATGTCTAACCTCAACTCCACAGAATAAGTCTAACCTCAATTCCACAGAATATGTCTAACCTCAACTCCACAGAATATGTCTAACCTCAACTCCACAGAATATGTCTAACCTCAACTCCACAGAATAAGTCTAACCTCAATTCCACAGAATATGTCTAACCTCAACTCCACAGAATATGTCTAACCTCAACTCCACAGAATATGTCTAACCTCAACTCCACAGAAAAAGTCTAACCTCAACTCCACAGAATATGTCTAACCTCAACTCCACAGAATATGTCTAACCTCAATTCCACAGAATATGTCTATCCTCAATTCCACAGAATATGTCTAACCTCAACTCCACAGAATATGTCTAACCTCAATTCCACAGAATATGTCTAACCTCAACTCCACAGAATATGTCTAACCTCAACTCCACAGAATAAGTCTAACCTCAATTCCACAGAATATGTCTAACCTCAATTCCACAGAATATGTCTAACCTCAACTCCACAGAATATGTCTAACCTCAACTCCACAGAATATGTCTAACCTCAACTCCACAGAATATGTCTATCCTCAACTCCACAGAATATGTCTATCCTCAATTCCACAGAATATGTCTAACTCTCCTAGTAACAACATGCACGACCATGTACTTCAATATAAGTTTGTATCTCAAGGACACTGATGAGGCACACAAGTCTTACCTCCTTTATACTGCAATATTAGAACTGTAGTCACGGTAAGTCCACTGATGAGGAACATGCACAGCATCACTAGTGCAATCACCACTCTTCTCATAAAGAAGCATCTGCCTGGTGACGGGGCATGACGGCGATGAGGCTGCTCGGATACAGAAAGGTTCCAACAGATAATGATTAAAAAGCATTCCACGTTCATGTTATTTGACGGGGTGGTTGAATTTGAAACAGTGCATAGGTGGATCCACCCCCCACCCACACACCCCACCCACACACCCACCCCTCCCTTTTTACCTCGAAAGTTTATTAAATGACCATTGAAACTCGGGTGAGAATGACGTATGCACCCCTCCTTTTCTCAATAGTGTGCGCCCCTCTCCCCCGGGGGACACCAGGAATGGGCTTCACACTCTGTACCCATGTGGGGAATCGAACCCAGTCTTCGGCTTGACCAGCAAACGCCTTAACCACTAGGCTATTCCACCACCCTAACGATTACGTGAACAGTAGCCCTATATTGCAATCTGACCACTGTTTGCTGAATAATACTATCGCTGACTTTGTTCCTATTACCACTAAAAAATTTACTGTCTTTGTTTACTGCCTTTACTTTTTCTACTGCCACTCTTTTGTATACAGGACACGTGAAGATCGGGCTTAGAATTGATCGTCAGCAACCCATGCTTGTCGTAAGAGGCGACTAGCGGGATCGGGTGGTCAGGCTCGCTGACTTGGTTGACACATGTGATGGGTTCCCAGTTGCGTAGATCGATGCTCATCCTGTTGATCACTGGATTGTCTGGTCCAGACTCAATTATTTACAGACCGCCGCCATATAGCTGGAATATTGCTGAGTGCGGCGTAAAACTAAACTCACTTACTAAAGTATACAGCAATTGTAAATACTCTGCAGTAATTCGTATTGATTTGTAAAGCAAGTTAATATATTCTTCAAAAGTTGGCTGTTGTCATGTCATAGAACAGCATGGACATCAACTTCTATTTCAAGGGCAGGTGGGGTAGCCTAGTGGTTAAGGCGTTCGCTCGTCACGCCGAAGGCCCGGGTTCGATTCCACACGTGGGCACAATGCGTGAAACCTGTTCCTAGTGTCCCCGCCGTGATATTGCTGGAATATTGCTAAAAGCGGATAAATTTTGGATAAGCATATGGAGGTCCCATTTACCTTCTCTCACAGCCCTGGTGTTCTGCAATAGGATGTTCAGCACCACACAAAAAATAGTCAAAGTCCATAGGTTGGAGAAAAAGAGAATATTACACTGCAGTATCTACCACGAGGTTCATTATTACGAATTATACGAATGAGTGTCCTTCCTATGGTATCTGACCGAGCGAAAGCGAGGTCAGATAACATAGGAAGGTCACGAGTTTCGTATAATTTGTATGTAATGAGACCGAGTGTGGTATTTTATTTATTACCCACGTCTTACATGCATTTAAATTGACAAAATAGCGTATTTTTGTTATGTTTTTGGTTTCAAACCGAAACCGGTTTCATAAAGAGGTTGCGGAAGAGTTTTTGTACTGTAGTACAACATTTGCATGACGTCACACTGTAATGACGTCACTGCCATGGTAACCGACGTCACGATGCATGTCAGTTGTCATCGCCTCGTACAGCCTCCTACAGTAAACTACCCGTTGCACCTCGTTTCTTGGTTTCCAGTTGCTTCATCTCGGCTAACATCACTGGTGGAAACATTGCGTTTATGTTTTCGACAGATATAATGTCTCAGTTCGACTCACAATTAAACAGCGACACGGCAACGTTCGCAATGTTTACATTCCCACAATGCATTTAAGTTGTAGAATGAATGAATTCACGTGTTTGTTATGAATGAAAAATAGTTACGTCAGAATGTGACCCAATTGAGAGGTCATCGGTTATCCAATCAAATCGTTAGAATTTCAGGTCAAGTCGTTACGACACAGGTCAACGCGATACGACACTCGTGTGACGTACGAGATTAATATGCAACTACCCATACGTTGACCACGTGGGTAATAAACCAAGGTCAAGTCGTTACGACATAGGTCAATGCGATACGACACTCGTGTGACGTACGAGATTAGTATGCAACTGCCCATACGTTGACCACGTGGGTAATAAAGGTGATTATTACCATCACCGTCTCAATTGCTATAACCACTGCTTTAGCATTATCTATCTTTGAATCTGTACTGGTAGTAGCTACTGTAATATCTGTAATAATTTGTTTTAATGTGTAAATTTAGAATACAAATGTCAATTACAGCACATAGTTTTGGTGTTGGTTTTTGTTTCACAATGACTATCAGTTGACTACTGCAGAACTTTCAACATGAACATGAGAGCATATTCCGCTAGCCACCATCTCCTTATAACTTTCCAAGAGAAGCAATGTAACGGCAAACAGCATAAAATCTCCAAGGTGACATTTAAAATAGGTACATACATGTTCATTACTCTCATCACAAAAATGACTATACAGTCAGTGTGTTTCTATAAACCAAAATGGAACAGCGTTTGTACAGATCACCAGCCAGTAAATTTTAGGTCTTTTCGGGGTCTTTTCAAGACCCAATCAACAAATTTAAGGAACTATAAAAAATACATATAACACATAAGTAGTTGAATACAGACAAGATTGGTCAAATGTGGGACCGACCATCAGGGGAAATAGCATTTAGCTACATTGCTGCACTGGGATGGAAATTACCACGCCCACTGTCACTGCAAGGCAGTTTTATTTTGTATGTTTCCTGCACATGACAAGTTTTGCTATATTTAGGGCCATTTAATCACAAATCATGGTGATTAGGACCTTTTCAAGGCTGAAACGTACGTAGGACCTTTGTAGGGAAAATATTCAGGTTTTTTCAAGACTGTGCGCACACTTTGGCAATTATACCCTGTATTGTTACTTTCTGAGCATTAATACATTGTGTAATGAGTCATTGCATTTCACAATAAGATATCTGAAATAAAGATAAAATTACTATGTATAATATTTGTATGTATTATGAAGAAGAATTAAACTGACTTATTAAAACTGTTAATAAAAAATACATTTTTTTTAAAAACCTCATTATTTCTTATCAATGACTGGGTAGTTTGTTAGCTCCAGGTAAACACATTATGTATCTGACGTAAGCTTCATTGTATTTCATCATTACAAATTGTATAATTAACAACTGACTTCCCATATTTCTGATTTGAGTAAAAGCAAAACAAAACAGGGTGCTGTCACGTGATCTCGATTTCTTAAAAAGGGGACCACTTTTGACCACCACATCATGGCACATCATAATCTACATACAATTAGACTTTCCAAAGAGCTAAAATATGCCCATACAAGAGATGGGGGCATTAAGTCGACTCTAAACCTTAGCCTACTGCTCTCCTATTAGTCGTCTCTTACGACAAGCATGGGTTCCTGAAGATCTTTAAGGGTCAAGCAGTGAAAGAAGGAGTACCAGCATCCTGCCTTAAGCAGCAGTCACTGTTGCAGTCCTACCGTTTCGGGTTCACCACTGCGTACAAATGATGTTTCTGTGATGTCCGTGAACTGGTCAGTACGTCCTGAACTTTGTGTCAGCGCTGAGCTCCTAAGAACATCACCGTGACCATATCCGGTGGGCAGAAGGTCTATCCGATCCATAGAGCGACCATAGTGTGCACCAGTGCCTCTGGGAATGCCCGAGGTGTATCTGCTGAAGATTCTGCTGGTGTGAGCCATCAGAGACAACTACTCCTGGAAGTAGGTTAGTGTCAGGAATCACATGCACCACAGACTAAATAGCTACTTTCTGAGATTACAACTGAATGTCAAAATCTGTTCCGTTTTGTTCACACCCTTGAATGTAAAGGTCCCCGAAAAAACCCTTGCCGTTGCAGATGACAAGAACTGATTCAAGCTCTCACTGTCCAGACCTTGTTTTGAAGGGTTGACACACATCTGTTCAAATGTTATTTCACACACATCTGTCCTCCTTCCCTCTATATCCCGACACAATCAGGGAACGGACACACTGGAGCAGATCAACGTCATACCCAATATCTACAACTTTCGGAATGAACTCGGCAGACAGCGACGTTCCATTCCAGCAATTCGAGAACAGGAAGTAATATTGACAATAGGTCTGACGTCAGATCAATTGTTCTTGTGGGAAAACCATCAGGACTATATATAGAAGGTGGAATTACCAGATTCTTTTGGAATACAGTACCTGTAACAGAAACCTCTCGGTCCCTGTGACCCCAAAATATAGTGTTACATAAAAACGACGATCGTCAAAGTGACGTATTGTGGAACTGACAACTCTATGTTGTACTGCACGCTTGGTGATTCTGTATGTATGAGTTCCCTGGAACCTTCTTATGCGTTCTTCAGTGATTGCGCTCAATGGTATAAACATGACATACATGTCATTTCGCGTTTGAAGATAGGTCAGGGATATCTCTCTAAGTAACACGGAACAAGATTGTGTTACCATACTCAAGGTCTCAGTGGTTATCAAAATCCATCATGCGTGACATGTGGAGTACACTTGGTAAGTTGATGTAAGTTGATATCCGATGCAAATCCATGTATCAAACACTTCCGTGAATTGACATTATTCTTCTTTTATATTTCGTTTAGAGAGGTGTGTGTGTGTGTGTGTGCGTGCGTGCGTGCGTGTGCGTTAGTGCGTGTGTGTGCGTTAGTGCGTGCGTGTGAGTGTTTGTGCGGTGTGTGTGTTGTGTGTTGTGGGGGGGATATTTCGGTTGGTTTTGTGTTGTTGTTTTAGTTTGTTTGTGTTTTGTTTTGTTTGTTTGTTCGTTGTTGTTGATTTGGTTTTGGGGGGAGTATTTTTTAAGGGGGGGTTGTTTGTTGGTTTTCGGGTCTTTTCGGTTTTTTATTAGGAGTACGATTGACTTGCTCTTGCATGCGTTTGTGACTGGTGGCAGCTTTGGGGCAAGGCACCCTCCCCTTTTCGAGAACACCCGGTATTATCACTAACTGATAGTGATTCACATGCTCATGACTGAATGCATTTGAACACATCCAGATACAATGACAGATGACAAATACAAATGAACAATAGGAGGCACATTTTATTATTCTGACAATATGATGAACATGTGTTTACGCACCAATAGCAAATAGTGATGATAGGGAAGTTAGAGTATTGCTCTAATGTATGGAATCCTGGAAGGGAAATTGTGGCGTTTTGGTTTATTTTGCCTCACTTTACTTGTTTTGGAGAGGACGACAATGCGACATAGCGACAATGTCCCTTCTCGGATTCCATACTAATGCGCTGACGGAATTCAGTGTGAAACCAACTAACACCAATTAACAGATGTATTTTAAAATTGGTTTACAAATCAAAACAAATCCACGTTAGCACGAATCACCAATACATATGTGTTTACTATACATCACCAGTACATCTGTGGTCACTATACATCACTAGTACATCTGTGTTCACTATACATCACCAGTATATCTGTGTTCACTGTACATCACCAATTCATCTGTGTTCACTATACATCACTAGTACATCTGTGTTCACTATACATCACCAATACATCTGTGTTCACTATACATCACCAATACATCTGTGTTCACTATACATCACTAGTACATCTGTGGTCACTATACATCACTAATACATCTGTGTTCACTATACATCACCAGTACATCTGTGTTCACTATACATCACTAGTACATCTGTGTTCACTATACATCACTAGTACATCTGTGTTCACTATACATCACCAATACATCTGTGTTCACTATACATCACCAATACATCTGTGTTCACTATACATCACTAGTACATCTGTGTTCACTATACATCACCAGTACATCTGTGTTCACTATACATCACCAGTACATCTGTGTTCACTATACATCACCAGTACAGCTGCGTTCACTATACATCACCAGTACAGCTGTGTTCACTATACATCACCAGTACATCTGTGTTCACTATACATCACTAGTACATCTGTGTTCACTATACATCACCAGTACAGCTGTGTTCACTATATATCACCAGTACATCTGTGTTCACTATACATCACCAGTACATCTGTGTTCACTATACATCACCAGTACATCTGTGTTCACTGTACATCACTAGTAAATCTGTGTTCACTGTACATCACCAGTACATCTATGCTCACTATACAACACTGCAACTGTTCGCTGCATATCATCCCCACATCTGTGTTTACTGAGCAGATACAACATTAATCACTGGGGTATTTCAAGATATGTGCGGCGTCATGTCGTGTGTGTTGCACTTATCACCAAGACAGAAACACAGGAAGTCATCCTCCCCGATTTTCCGACACGATAGATCTGCAGAAGACGCTCTGTCCCACGTTGGATTCTGGTCTGTGCATCCTCTGTGAACAACGTTCTCTGGAACAAATAACATACTTCATATCGACAGCCATTACCCACGAGTGCAGTAAGTTGTAGTAGTATATGATTTGTGTATGAGCTTATTTTATTACAACATATTCTATAAATCAACCATGTACAGTTTCTGTGGCAAACTTCATCACGAAAAGATGTATTAATAAACCTCTGACATTGTGACACATGCTCTGACACTCACCATCCGTGAACCTGACAGAAGAGAAGCAGGCGGTCCCACATGGACACAGAATGACTTCACCGCGGTCAGTACCAGCCATAGTGCCGTTTACTGGACATCGTACATTTCTGGAGGTACAGGAATGACACTGCCGGGATACACTACAGCCTACAAGGACAATGTAAATAACCAGGTAAACAGGTGAGAAATAAAGTAAAAGTATGGAACTCAACGTCCATTTACAAACCACGTAGGCGCGAGACCAAGGAGAACCTTAAAGCTAAACAGTTCCCAAAATGAACGCTTTACTTTCTTCAAATGGGGACATTTGTTCCTGAATGTGTAAAATTACATTTACAACTTGTGAGGTTGATGACAATTTATCAAAAATGAAAGTAATTTCATCAAAGGTTCATCTAAAAACATTTGAAATGCTGGACTTCCTCATTGATAAAAAATATGTAAAATTGGGTGTATGACAGTTAGGCAAGAAGTAGTCATCCCGATGGGCACCAATGGTTCTTTTCTTGCTGGTGTGGTTCTTTACGCAAATGCATGAATAGGAATTTCTGCTCGGATCCTCTATGTCTATCTAAGGTAATCTGGCATAGAAGCTGAACTTAAGTCTCGTGTATATTGACTTCATAGCGATTTGATACCATTCAATAATCGCCAAATAACACATTTCCCTCCCACTGATTTCCTCCTGAACTTGAAACAAAGGAGACAAGCGAGACTTGTCTGTATGATAAGAGCGATGACTACAACTTTGAAAAAGTCAACTGTCCCTTTATGTCCAGCAGTATTCTACTAGTTCTAGCCTTTGGTGTCTAGTAGAATGTCCAGCAGTATTCTACTAGTTCTAGCCTTTGGTGTCTAGTAGAATGTCCAGCAGTATTCTACTAGTTCTAGCCTTTGGTGTCTAGTAGAATGTCCAGCAGTATTCTACTAGTTCTAGCCTTTAGTGTCTAGTAGAATGTCCAGCAGTATTCTACTAGTTCTAGCCTTTGGTGTCTAGTAGAATGTCCAGTATTCACTAGTTCTATTCTTTGGTGTCTAGTTCTAGCTACTTTCTAGCCTTTGGTGTCTAGTAGAATGTCCAGCAGTATTCTACTAGTTCTAGCCTTTGGTGTCTAGTAGAATGTCCAGCAGTATTCTACTAGTTCTAGCCTTTGGTGTCTAGTAGAATGTCCAGCAGTATTCTACTAGTTCTAGCCTTTGGTGTCTAGTAGAATGTCCAGCAGTATTCTACTAGTTCTAGCCTTTGGTGTCTAGTAGAATGTCCAGCAGTATTCTACTAGTTCTAGCCTTTGGTGTCTAGTAGAATGTCCAGCAGTATTCTACTAGTTCTAGCCTTTGGTGTCTAGTAGAATGTCCAGCAGTATTCTACTAGTTCTAGCCTTTGGTGTCTAGTAGAATGTCCAGCAGTATTCTACTAGTTCTAGCCTTTGGTGTCTTCATTTTACACCTTTTGGTGCAAAATCAATTATGTTCTTTCTACGAAGATTTCAAAAAGCGTTACACAACTCTTGCTCAGAAGTGGTTTCATCAAGGTTACAAGATTCAAGGTGTAAGTAATGATTTTATAAAATTGTTTAAAAAAGGCATATAGAGGACAATTCCAAATTTGAAGCATTTGTAATTTATTTAGAATTGTACAATATATTCCCTTGTTTCTTCCGGTGAACAATTGACGTTCTTGTGCATGTGTTTGTGATGTGTACCACCAAAATTGCAGTATACCCTCATCACTATTCGATGTTTATTTATAAACAAATGCTTATGATATAATCATAAATGTACAATCGACTGTGCTCTAAGCAGAGATTCTTTCTTTGTGGACATGAAAAGTCCTTGTCGTTTTAAGGGGCGGCGGGGTGGCCTAGTGGTTAAAGCGTTCGCTCGTCACGCCAAAGACCCGGGTTCTATTCCCCACATGGGCACAATGTGTGAAGCCCATTTCTGGTGTCCCCCGGCGTGATATTGCTGGAATATTGCTAAAATGCGGCGTAAAGCTCAACTCACTCACTGATGTTTCTATATTCCACACCTCACTATGGCTGTACATGTACCGCCACTCCCCAGTATATCCGTACTTCTATCGATACTTCCATACGTTCGTACGTCCATTCTACCTCCATTCTTTACAACTAATATACTATTCTAAAAGCGGCGTAAAATACAACTTACTCCCTGACTTTCTGTGAGAGAGTCATTGTACTTTCCTGCTTAAAGTGATTTTGAGAAACTTGTTACGACGAAGTAGGTATTTCCACTGAATTCACGTTTGAGCTCTCGCGAGATAGGACTTAATTCTAAGAGCACGTGAACTGGGTGTCACGCCGCTTTTCATAATATTCTAGCAATATCACGGCAACATCACGGCATTATTCTAGCAATATTACGGCAATATCCAAGCGATATCCCGGCAATATTCTAGCAATATCACGGCAACATCACGGCAATATTCTAGCGATATCACGGCAATATTCTAGCAATATCACGGCAACATCACAGCAATATTCTAGCAATATCACAGCAATATTCTAGCAGCATCACGGTAATATTTTTAGCAATATCACGGCAACATCACGGCATTATTCTAGCAATACCACGGCAATATTCTAGCGATATCACGGCAATATTCAAGCAATATCGAGGCAATATTCTATCGAGCGATATCACGGCAATATTCTAGCAATATCACAGCAATATTCTAGCGATCTATCACGGCATTATTCAATACAATATATCACGGCAATATTCTAGCAATAGCACGGCAATATTCTAGCAATATCACGGCAACATCACGGCAATATTCTAGTGATCTCACGGCATTTTTCTAGCAATATCACGGCAATATTCTAGCAATATCACGGCAATATTCTAGCGATATCACGGCAATATTCTAGCGATATCACGGCAATATTCTGGCAATATCACGGTAATATTCTAGCAATATCACAGCAACATCACGACGATATTCTTGCAATATCACGGCAATATTCTAGCGATCTCACGGCATTATTCTAGCAATATCACGGCAATATTCTAGCAATATCACGGCAATATTCTAGCAATATCACGGCAACATTACGGCAATGTTCTAGCAATATCACGGCAACATCACGGCAATATTCTAGCAATATCACGGTAATAATCTAGCAATATCACGGCAACATCGCGGTAATATTCTAGCAATATCACAGCAATCTTCAAGCAATATCACAGCGATGAATTATTAAAGGAAAAAGCAAATGCTGTGAAATTATCAACATATTGTAGTTACCTGTAGTCGTGGGTGGAGTAGTCGTAGATGCAGCAGTAGATGGAGACGTTGAAGGACTTGTCGTCGAGCTTGTATTGGTACTTGGTTTATTGGCTGTAGTAGTTGGAGAGGTTGAAGAGGCGAGAACGATGGTAGTCGTTGAAGGAGAAATAGAGGTGGTAGGTGTTGAAGGAGATAAAGAGGTGATAAAGGTAGGGGATGTTGAATTCAAGGTTGGGGTGGCTGCTATTGAAATGGAGGAAGGGGCTGTTGACGTTGAAGCGGAGGTAGAGGTGGTGGGTGTTGAACTTGAGAGAGAGACGATAGTCTTCGAAGCTGTGGGAGGAGTCGTAGGTGGTGCAGTGGAGACTGTCGTTGATGTCTTCGTTGATGTCTTCGTTGATGATGGTGGTGGGTTAGCCCCCGTTTGTCCTTCAGAATGAAAACCAAAAAAACGTGAAACCGTTTGTCTTAGGCTACCTGTTGCCGTTAGATGGACACGCATATCAGTTCTGACCCGTACCTTCTTTAAATTATCAAAGGAACACATTGTCTATCAAACTGGAAACTTGAGATCAATAACAGTTTAAACTGTTTATTGATTTTAACATAATCTTGATTTAAATACAGCAAAGATATCCAAAGTCACAAGATTCAGTTGCACCCGAAATTGATAAGCCATTAAATGTCATATATTTCAACACACAGTTTGCCTCATTTTGTTCATATACAATGTACTTAAATGTGACTGCCTAGAATGACTTATATCCTCACTTCCAAGTCAGTATGTACTGGTATTTTGTATCATCTAAACACAAGCCATGCGTGTTTCATCATATCACGTATTTTCCATTAACAAAACGGCAGAAAATGCGAAGCATATATATATACTGAGAGAAACACATAAAGGATCACAGGAAAATTCAAGCGTTCCTTTATTATTTTCCAGTTTTCATCGCCACAGTGCCATTCAAAGCTGGTGATGAAAACTGGAAAATATTAAAGGAACGCTTGAATTTTCCTGTGATCCTTTATTTGTTTCTCTCAGTATATAACTACTGTCTGTTTTGCTTCATACAAACATAATCAACCTGGTCAGTCATGACACAGGTTTGTTTGTTTGTTTGTTTAACTTTGCACTCTGCAGTATTCAAACTACATAGCGGTCTGTAAATAATCGAGTCTGGATCAGAAGATCAGGTGACTGACATCATGAGCATCGATCTACACAACTGGGATACGATAACATGGGTCAACCAAGTCAGCGAACCTGACCACCAGATCGCCTCTTCCAACAATAATGGGTTGTGAATTTCACATATGTGAAAACATTTTCTTTAAAAACTAAGACAATCAAAATATGCTGTTTGAAATATCAAAACACGGAACTGAATGTCCATTGACCTACCTGATTTCCCGGTGACCAGAAGCGTGGTGGTGACTGTCAAGGCGGACACTAGTACCAGGATGAATACGACTATGCCAGTTATCATCACCCGCTTGCGGGAACACCAGCCTGGAGTGACGCCAGAAGGGGGCGGTTGATTCTGTACATACAACAAACAAACATACAGTACAGTGAGTGAGTAAGGTTTTACGCCGCTTAAAGCAATATTCCAGTAATCTCACGGCGACCTTGAAAATTGTCGCTATGTCGCATTGTCGCCTTTTGGATGAATAGAAAAATATTATTCAAAGCACGACAATGCGACACATGGCTAAAATTTCGCGTTGTCGCACTGTCGCATTTTGGTTAAATTTGCCACCTTTTGCGTGTGTTTGTGAAGGCGACAATGCGACCCCGAGACAATGTCCCTTCTTGGATTCCATAAAATGTGGTGATGAAAATCAGCCATAATACCTTGCGCTCGCCCAAACACAATCATTTCCTGTTTCTAAGGTGAAACAGTAAAACAGACCTGGGTCAAGATCCAGAAAACGTTCGCTACGACATTCGTAAACCTATGAGTGAGTGAGTTTAATTTTTACGCCTCTCTTAGCAATATTTCAGCAATATCATGGCGGGGACCCCAGAAATGGGCTTCACACATTGTGGGGGATCGAAGCAAAGTGACAAGCTCGTAAACCTATGATAAACTATAGTTTCGACACACGAACCTTACGAACGCTTTGAGGATCGGGACCCTGCATTTTTAACACTATATCATTTGGAATATCAACCACGTACTAATTTGCATTACATGCTGTTTCCATCATCCAGGTGCAAGAGTTGATGATGATGAAGATAATGATGATTTAATACAAAGCACACGCATGACAATGATTTCAGATGCTTTAAAGAACTAAAGTCTAAATGCAAATACCACATTTGACACATGTATGCATTGACGCAATGAATCGACTAATTAATGTTTGCAATATATGAGGGGTTCATTTTCAAACGCATGCGCACAGGTGAGCAATAGTGACGGAACTTATATTTTAAGAAGTGGATATTTCTTTCCGTTTGGCATAGTTGATGGAAATGAGATCGTTATAAGAAATATGTTCTTAAAAGTTTCATAATGTGATTTGCAAAAACTAAAAGTTTGAAAGTAACATGTAAATAACAGAAGCACTAAACTGCACCTCAAAGCATACATTGGAACGTTCACTTTCATGAATGATTTAACGCACGAGACACGTGCATCATATGTCATTGGAAATGCATTAAAATAGACCCAATAGAAGGTAAAAAGCAAGTTTGCCAAAGAAAATTAGAAATAATTTTTTCGTTTCGTTTCATTTTCATTTTATTATGCCACTGTCTGGTCACGCGCTGACATTGAGCTATTCGGATGAGGGAGACAGAAAAAATATATACGACATACAGCATTGCCGTAACAATACACCATAACAATGAGTGGGCGAGTATGGTTTTACGCCGCTTTTAGCAATATTCCAGCAATATCACGGCGGGGGACAGAAGAAATTTTTACCCATGAGGGGAATCGAACCCGGGTCTTCAGCGTGACGAGCGAACGATTTAACCACTAGGCTACCCCATCGCCCCTCGATAACAATGGCGCAGAAGAGGATGAGGCTTGGAACAGGGTGGTACTTCTGGATGAAGTCTATCAAACATAAGGCACTGTTTCTCCGCTGCTATAGGCCACACGAGAACTGAAAGTTTATTCTTGCCTCAGCTGGGAGTCAGTAAAAGGACTTAGAAAGGAACAATATGATGCTTCGTTGAATCAGCGTACAGTACATTGTTTGCAGCCCCACAATATATAATCATTACCAGTATGTCAGCTTGCTCGTTAGCTTTGTGGTCGGTCGTAGGATAATAGCATTAAGTAATTAAACTATCAAATGCAACTGAGCGCATCAGTGAACCACAAAAGGTAAGGATATTACCGTCCAGCGATGTGCTTATCTAATACTTGCATTGTACCCGCGCAACACGGGTCTACACGTTGTCTGGAGCATCGAATCTACAATAAGTAAAGCATCATAGAAATAGTGGTTTCGATTTACATACGTCAACAAACCGCAAAAAAAGCTGAGTTTGTATATGTACTTGAAGCCTCGTCACACCAAGAGACGTTATAAGACGTACTCGTTGTTACACTGTCTTGTAACCTGAGTACCTGAAACGAACCTGGGTCAAACAATTACTTGTCAGCTTGAAGTCAGTATACAGTGCCTGAATGACGGTTCTCAGAGCGTTGGCACTGTAAACCCGTCATAAGTCTGGCTGAAGGGGTTGGTATGGGTACTACAGATGTGCACCATATGCAGGTACCCTAGCCTAAATCAGAATACAGAAATGTGCCCCAGCCAAAATCTGGATACAGAAAAGTACCCTAGCCAAAATCAGAATACAGAAACGTACCCTAGACAAAATCAGACTACAGAAACATGCCTTAGCCAAAATCAGAATACAGAAACGTGCCCTAGTCAAAATCATAAAACAGAAACGTGCTCTAGCCAAAATCATAACACAGAAACGTGCCCTAGCCAAAATCATAAAACAGAAACGTGCCCTAGCCAAAATCATAACACAGAAACGTACCCTAGCCAAAATCAGAATTCAGAAACGTACCCTAGCCAAAATCAGAAAACAGAAACGTGCTCTAGCCAAAATCAGAAAACAGAAACGTGCCCTAGCCAAAATCAGAAAACAGAAACGTGCTCTAGCCAAAATCAGAAAACAGAAACGTACCCTAGCCAAAATCAGAAAACAGAAACGTACCCTAGCCAAAATCATAAAACAGAAACGTGCCCTAGCCAAAATCAGAAAACAGAAACGTACCCTAGCCAAAATCAGAAAACAGAAACGTACCCTAGCCAAAATCATAACACAGAGCATTACCCTAGCCAAAATCAGAAAACAGAAACGTACCCTAGCCAAAATCAGAAAACAGAAAACGTACCCTAGCCAAAATCAGAAAACAGAAACGTACCCTAGCCAAAATCAGAAAACAGAAACGTACCCTAGCCAAAATCAGAAAACAGAAACGTACCCTAGCCAAAATCAGAAAACAGAAACGTACCTTAGCCAAAATCAGAAAACAGAAACGTACCCTAGCCAAAATCAGAAAACAGAAACGTACCCTAGCCAAAATCAGAAAACAGAAACGTGCTCTAGCCAAAATCAGAAAACAGAAACGTACCCTAGCCAAAATCAGAAAACAGAAACGTGCTCTAGCCAAAATCAGAAAACAGAAACGTACCCTAGCCAAAATCATAAAACAGAAACGTACCCTAGCAAAAATCAGAATTCAGAAACGTACCCTAGCCAAAATCAGAATACAGAACCGTACCCTAGACAAAATCATAACACAGAAACATGCCTTAGCCAAAATCAGAATACAGAAACGTGCCCTAGCCAAAATCATAACACAGAAACGTGCTCTAGCCAAAATCATAAAACAGAAACGTGCCCTAGCCAAAATCATAAAACAGAAACTTACCCTAGCCAAAATCAGAATACAGAAACGTACCCTATCCAAAATCAGTAAACAGAAACTTACCCTAGCCAGAATCAGAATATAGAAACATGCCCTTGACAAAATCAGAATGCAGAAACGTGCCCTTGACAAAATCAGAATGCAGAAACGTGCCCTAGGACGAGTCCATTCCGCACTGTGCGTTTTTCTTGATCGGAACTGTCATACTGTTGTATCAATTGCATTTGATTGCGTTATATAAGAAACGAGCATACTCGATTGCGAATATTTTGCCATGCAGTCAATCAGTTGAACGGGAACAACTACATACGGTTTAGGGTTGCGGAATATGGGCTCGTAGGGTACCGGGTAGTTTTCTGTAATCTGTTTGATGGATAATAGAAAAGTATGATACTTCTGATACCGTTATCACTCTTGCTTGACAACGGTAAGGAAGCTATACCGAAACGTCGCATCATAACAAATAAAGAAGTTGTTATCCATAAAGTATTATACTTTTCTGGTTTTCTGTGGTTTGATTAGGGTACATTCCTGTATTCAGAAATGTACTGGAGTACATATCTGTAGCACCTGTATCTGAAATACAACGACCCCTTCAGCATACGTCTGGAATAGTACAGGTACACAGACTCAAGCACAAGCACAAGCACAAGCACAAACACAAGCACGCCGGCGAACACGCACACTAACGGCATTTTGTGGAAGCCGCGGTGGCTGAGCGGCCTAGGCGTCTGACTTTGTGTGCTGGCGATTAGGTGCCTGACTCTGAGGGTGTGGGTTCGAATCCCGGATGGGACTCAACCCAAAAGAAGTACTAGAATCTGTACTTTACTGAGAAAGAGTAATCCCTAATATAACCTATGTTTCTGTAAAATATGTTCAATTCAGAGACTAAATGTTATTCTAGCAGTGTTCCTACCGTAGGGAATAACTGACTCCAGGCGGCATAGGGTGCCAAAGACTGATTGCTGGCCATGTCGCCTTCAGATTCTGTAGATGGGGAGAGGGTGTATCCCCTGTTATCCTCACCGCTGTACGATGTACCGTTTGGAACCACCGAACTGAGATCTTTGGTCCTGGGTAGCGTCCCAACTGAACCAATCGTATCATAGGGATCCTCGGTCCTTTCATCACCGCCATTGTTCTCACTGACCACATCTGGCAAGGCACGGCCAATGGGATTTAATTGAACCGCGTGGCAATAAGTTTCGGAATCACGACCGGAGCCGCAATCAGCTCGCTCTCTGATTGAAGATGTACGCAGTTCAACTGCCTCTTCGAATGACTCGGGTCTCATGGTGTTGTCACAGAACGTACACGGCAATGTTTGTGATTTTCACATTTCCAGAATGTACCATGAGTCTCTGATAGTTCCACTTACACAAACACAACCCTGTGACATCGAGTGTCTATTTCATATGTAGACACTTGTAATGACTTCCTGGTCCATAGATAACAACCGGCAAAACATACACCCTGTTAAGTGTTGTCAGCAATGGCTGTTGTCATTCAAAACTTAATTCCGGCTGTAATTCAATTGTTCATCGACCCATGGACAAACACAGTATCACAACAAAGGAAAACGTATAACAGCATTGCGGGGTATGTTACCGCACCCTGAACATCAAGCAATGTTTATGTTTCAAAATGACTCCAACGAGCTGTGAAAAAGCTCACAATGCCTTCGAAAGTTAGACAATGTGGACACAGAACAAAATACTTCATTCGAACTCGGCTTTGATTTCGAGTGTGAGACACACCCCTCCCTTCCCCGTTCTTGAAATCGTGCGGGAATTTCCAGACCCACTTTTGAACAAGGACGTAACTTGAAGGCAATTGTAATCATATATCGTGTTACTTAATTTGGTATTCAGACAAGGCTTTGCCTGTTCACGGGGTCGTGAACTGTCTTCTTAGATATCACTGCCTTCTCACAGATCAACATGAGCGACTAAGATGGTTGAGAGACTCCATTTCACTCTGATGTATTCAGGATGTTTGTGGGCGAATAAGAAATTGTATAGGAAATTGAGTAGTGTACTCAGCCGTGCATGCTGTAAAAGAGCCCTTTCAAAACGACCTGATAGATTTATTACCGTATGACGTAAGAGACGAAAAACCTTTTCAAGGTTGCGGAGTCGATCTACTCACTGTCTTCGGGTGATATGTTAAATATTTATTGAGTGAGTTTAGTTTTACGCCGCACTTGGCAATATTCCAGCTATATGGCGGCGCTCTATAAATAATCGAGTCTGGACCAGACAATCCAGTGATCAACAGCATGAGCATCGATCTACTCAATTGGGATACGATGACATGTGTCAACCAAGTCAGCAAGCCTGACCACCCGATCCCGTTAGTCGCCTCTTACAACAAGCATGGGTTACTGAAGATCAATTCTAACCCGGATCCTCACGGGTCAAATATTTATTGACTTGGACAACAGTTCGAATGCTGCCAGTCCCTCAGAATTAATCCAGGTCCTTCCTGAATAAGGGTTAAAACTAGAAACATTAGCAGAAATTTGATGTCATGCGCTTCATAATGGCTATCCCAGCGCTGGAATATGGTAAGTGAGTATGGTTTTACGCCGCATTTAGCAATATTCCAGTAATATCAGAACGGGGGACATAAGGAATGGGCTCCACACATTGTACCCATGTGGGGAATCGAAACCTGGTTTTTGGCGTGATGGGCGAGCGCTTTAACCACTAGGCTGCTTCAGAGGAGTAAGCATGTGAGTGTAAGTACAATAAAAGTGATAAGAGTACAGGTATATGGACTATTGTATTGGGAACATTGAGGACCGCCCTTACTTGAATATGACACGGCGTTGTGCAGTGTTGTGAACTCTGTCCATAAGTTGGTTAGTTGGTTGTTTAACGCCGCACTCGGCAGTATTCCAGCTATATGGCGGCGCTCTGTAAATAATCTAGTCTGGACCAGACAATACAGTGATCAACAGCATGAGTATCGATCTGCGCAGTTAAGAACCGATGACATGTGTCAACCAAGTCAGCGAGCCTGACCACCCGATCCCGTTAGTCGCCTCTTACGACAAGCATTGGTTACTGAAGACCAATATTCTAAAACGGATCTTCACGGGTCCTTTACGCAAATGAATAGGATTTTCTATACTAGGCACATAAAGAAGCTGTGCATACAAAAAATTAAAATCTAAATTTATCAAAGCTGTGTAGACACATAAGGATTCAAACTCAGAGATTAGTGACATGTATCCAACATGTATGCACGTGCCACGTTCCGTGACGTCAGTGGGTTCGTCCTTGAGACGTGCAATACGTTGTTGCACGTGCATTCCGGGAAAGAGAAACAGAGCAAATGAATGCCACACAATACTGTCAGTTTGGAAAGCTCAACCCCTACCCTTGCGATCGTTCAAAAAATTAAACGGCTATTGAAACACATAGCATGCCAAGGCTCACGTCTGCACAACGTCATGAGGCCATTGGGGTGGTCCGTTGGGGAATGTCTCAACAACAACTGGCTGCACATTTCCACTGCCACCGGAACACCATTTCTGCACTGGTGAGACGCTACCAGAACACAAATGACGTCATCGATCGGCCACGTTCTGGACATCCAAGTGTAACAACGCCAAGACAGGACATATGGATAATGGTGACCCATCTTCGCCACAGGTTTCAGACTGCAGTGATGACTGCCCGAACCATCCCAGGACTTCGCCGTATCCACCCCAACACAGTTCGACAACGTTTACGTCATCACGGGATCAGACCACGACGTCCCGCCATACGGCCTATCCTGACACAACGTCATCGACAAGGTTGCCGAATGTGGTGCCGAAATCATGTCTGCAGACCCTTGTTTTGGGGGAGAAATGTTGTTTTTACAGATGAATCCAGGTTTAACATTTCCCATAGTGATGGAAGTCAACGTGCCTATAGACGCGTGGGAGAACGTTATGCACAGGCCTGTGTCTTGGAGAGGAATCGCTTTGGTGTTGGTTCCGTGACGATCTTGGGTGGAATAACAGCACGCCAAAGAACTCCTTTGGTGATTGTTCAGGGCAACTTAACTGGTGTGGGCTACAGTGATCAGATTCTTCGACCTGTAGCAATTCCTTTTCTGCAACGTCATGGTCCTGGGTTAACATTCCAACAGGACAATGCCGCCCTCATACGGCAAGGGTTGCTATGCAACACCACAACGTTGACTTACTGCCTTGGCCTGCAAATTCACCGGATCTCTCCCCGATAGAGCATGTTTGGGACGAGATGGATCGACGTCGACGCCGTCTTCCTCATCCGCCAGATAACGTCCTTGACCTTGCAACAGAACTTGAGAGAATCTGGCGTGACATCCCACAAGCCTTCCTTGCACGTTTGATAGGCTCTATGCTTCGTCGATGCACTGCTGTTCTCAATGCCGATGGTGGACATACCCGTTATTGAGCTTGTGACATGGTCGTTTGACCCCTGTCCCGCTTGTGGACTCGTGACGTCATTGTGATTGACTTTTCAATTGAACTTGTTATGGTCTCATGATCCCTCCATTAAAGTTTATATGTACCTTTGACATTGTCATCGTACTTATCAACTGGGATAATATTTTGACAATGCACAGTTTCCTTATGTGGCTAGTATATATGGCGGCGGTCTGTAAATAATCGAGTCTAGGCCAGACAATCCAGTGATCAACAGCATGATCAATCTACGCAACTGGGATATGAGGACGTGTGTCATCCAAGTCAGCGAGCCTGACCACCTGATCCCGTTAGTCCGCTCC